AGAATTGAGTTAATAAAATGTCATTTTAATCTGCCAGGGTCGAGGAGTTGGGAATGGAAAAAAGAAAATGGAAGCTGCTGCAGCTGCCCAGGAAGAACGAGACAAACCGTATGCTTGTGACAGTGAGTTTTGACATGTTATTTTGGATATATATATCTCAAAAGTTTGGGCTTAGTAAGATTTGAATTATTTTTAATAATGAGAATTATGTGACACTGAAGGAATGGCTGTTGAAAGTTCATGTTTTGGCATCACAGGAATGCATTACAAAATATACTAAAACGTGATAATTTCACAGTATTACTTTTTTCACAGTTTTTTTTTTTTTTATCAAATAAATGCAGCCGTGGTAAGCATAAGAGATCTCTTTCAAAAATATTAAAAGATTTTACTGACCCCAAACTTTTGAACAGTAGTCTATGCAAATATGTTTTTGGCTAACCTTGCGTACTGCTGTTGTTCATGAAGTTGCTGAAACTTGATGTCAATATCATGACAGCTGAATTCTGAGTGGTTCATGTCTGCAGCTTAGTTCCCATCAATCGGTTTGGTTATCTGGAGAGGGAGCTTTGATTGTGAAACTTACATAGTACATTGAAAGCATTTATGCTAAAAGATCAATGAAAATCCTGTTTTCCATAATGCATAACGCTTTTTACACGACTGTTTTAATTTTAAACCTTTTCTTTTTAATAGTCTGTGGGAAACGCTATAAGAACAGACCAGGCTTGAGTTACCACTACACTCACTCTCACCTGGCTGATGAGGAGGGAGAAGACAAAGAAGAACCTGAGATTCACACCCCTGCACCACAAGAGGAACCCAAGAGTGAGCGTTCATTCATGATGACTGTCATTACACATCACTTGTGCATTATCACTTTAAAGGATTTAACAAGTACAAGATGTTCTATTCTTTGAGTTTAAACGAAACCATTTATAGTTGTGATTGTTAGATCCTTGTGACTTAAGGATATTGTATATGACATTACAAATATTTGCCACTTTTGTTACGACCACATACTAGATTGCAGCTTTGATTTTGATAGTCCTGCTAGTCAAAACATTAACGAACGCAGGACAACAGTTGATCTGATGCTCTGTTTTATTACAGCCCCTAAAAAAGGACCAAATGGCCTGGCATTACCCAATGACTATTGCGACTTCTGCCTGGGTGACTCCAACATGAACCAGAAAACAGGCCAGTCTGAAGAGCTGGTGTCCTGCTCTGACTGTGGACGTTCAGGTATGACACCTAGGCACAGAGCGAACTCTAAACTTCTACGCTCAGATTCGCGTAATTCATGCATGGCCTTTTTCTCTTATCCCTCATAAGGACATCCTTCGTGCCTGCAGTTCACTGCCGTGATGATGGCAGCTGTAAAGACTTACCGCTGGCAGTGCATTGAGTGCAAGTGCTGCAATGTTTGTGGCACATCTGAGAATGACGTGAGTCTCCGCACATTATCACTCAAACAAACCCCTTATACAGAAAACCATCTGTTAATGTGTTTAAATCCTCTTTCCCAGGACCAGCTTTTGTTCTGTGATGACTGTGACAGAGGATACCACATGTACTGCCTCAGCCCTCCCATGTCAGACCCTCCAGAAGGTACTAGCAATCATTTGCATGTGCACCAATAATTAAAAAAAAATTCTTACAATAATTGGAGTAAGGACTTAATCACAGTAAGATGTGTTCATGATACAAGCAAACTCTGTTTCCATGCAATTTGCATTATTCCCTAAGAATTGTGGTTATTTTTACCGCTATTATTAATATATCCAAATGCACAACACAAATAATGTACTCACATATAGTAAGTGTGTTACTGGCCACTGTTTTATTCTACTTGCGTCAAATGCAAAAACACATTTCTATGGTTTCTATGACTATGAGCTTAATTGCGTAAATTTGATCCAAGTATTTTGTTTTCATGAGGTAAATTTTAATTGCAAAATTGCTTAAATGTCATTATAATCGCATGTAAATGTAGTCTTTATTTACTCAAACTCATGTCGTTCTAGACTCATTTTACTTTTTAGCTTTTGCGAAATGCAAAAAGTAGACATTTTTAAGAATGTCTACACTGATTCTTTCAATAGAATGAGAGTGGGGCATCTCCAAAATTATGCACAGAAGAGCAAAAAAAACATTTGTTTTATGACTGCTACAGTCTATGCTGCTACCAGCAAAACCATTAAAGTAAATAAAGACTGCACTGAGATGTATCTGTATATAGAGTAGGGTTGCCCCCGAACAAAGATTTTCCTAGTTGATTCAATATGTTGGTCATTCATTTCAGCCATTAGTTGACTAGTCGCACTTTTATAATATTAGCTAGTGTTTTCTGAGTCTGTCCCGGCTACAAAGATGGAGTTGGCGTCGTTGACTCATCATCTTCGCAAGTAGGGCTGGAACAGCATGCCGACGTAATCGATTACATTGGTTACGCACTTTTTATGTTCATCTCTAATCTCCTGTCATGTTTCACACAAAACAAAACTCTACAGCAGATGCTAATGGCTCGTATGTAGGCTAGTATTACAATGTAAATGTGTAAATGTAATCCTTGAAATGCAATGTAAGTTGCTTTGGATAAAAGCGTCTACCAAATGTAAATGTAGTATGGCAGTGTCACTTAATACGGTTGCGTTCACACCGCGTTTGGTTTTTTACGAGCGTGACAACCCCATTCTACAACCCAACTGACACCTGCACATTTTCAGGACTCACAACTGCATTCTCGACAAACCCGCGCTGAATGAACGGACCCGCACTGGACAGCTGGTTGTCTGCCACGTAATATAATGTGAGAGCTTTGATGTGTTTAGTTTACTCACAGAGATAGAGAAATGATTTGCGTTCATCTGCAGATCCACCAGAGCTTGTTTGATAAAACTTGTTTTATACTGTCACTGAATATGGTTGTGAGAGTCCTGAAAATGTGCAGGCTCGTATTAAGCGGCGCTGCCATACTAGCCATTAGCATCTGCTCTAGAGTTTTATTTTGTGTGAAATATGATGGGATTAGGGATGAACACAAAGTGGGTAATCCATTACGCCGAAGCGTCGTTCCAGGCCTACTTCGCTGTACATTGGATGTGCCTATAGACAGAAAAGCATGTAAAGTTAAACATCTTGCGTGTTACTAATTTAGCTTCCACACGCTGCACAAACACTTGGATATGTTCCCAGTAATACTATCTAGGTTAACATTAATGTTTGAGGTAAAGTGGCTAACGTTAGGCTACTAACATGTTTCAAATGATAAGCCATGTTTGAGTTTGATGAATGATAGGTGTTTGCATGTCACCTTTTTGGGGTCATCCTTTACCCTCTCAAAATGATCCCACAAATGGACCAACATGTTACCGATCTGTCCGTCATGGAGTGCATGACTTTTCTGCAACCAACCAACTCTTCTCATCGAGTACTATTTAGTTGACCTTTAGGGAGCAGCCCTAATATAGAGTACTATAAGTCCCAGTAAAACATTTGAAATAATATGCACGTTTTGATTTTAGCATCAAGATTTTAGATTGAAGTTTGTATAATTATAATTTAAGAACTTGTATAATGTGGCATGAGATTCTTTTTTAACAGAAGCAGAAATAAATATTTTGCATGTCATACTACTGACTTGCGTGATTTAGTCCAAGTCCTGTGATGCAGTACAATAGCATTGTGTGAAGAAAAGGCCAAAACATAAAGATATTCAAACTAGTCTTGTAAAGACACGTCTTTGACACCAAAACGGCAAGGTTAGACAAGTGTATGCATTTATTGCTGTTTCAGTTGGTACTAGTTATAGTTATGCATTGCTGCTGATGATCAGTATTTGGCTTTAATCATGTTTACAGGAAGCTGGAGTTGCCACCTGTGTCTGGCTCTTCTGAAGGACAAGGCCTCCATTTATCAGAGCCAGAACACCGCAATGGAGTGACGGAGGAACCGCGACAACAGTCTACCTTGAAGAACACGCAGAAACACACTTAAACTGTTGTGAGACTTTCCGGAGAGGCTGGAAGAGAAATCATTGCCCCTAACATAGCCATTGTTTTTGGGTTTTATTTTGCTATGACTGTTACTCACATCATGAGCAGTGTTTGAAATTACAGAGGGCGCATTTGAAATAGATTATATACACTTCATGCATTATGTGCAGTTTTTCCACAATCCTTCGTGTTGGGGCCAATGGTTCAGATGATTAAGCACCTGTTTATGCATTGCCAAATATTCTTTTTCTTTATTGCTCATTCAAGATACATTTGTTTACATAGAGCAAACATATGGCTTAATCCTTTTAAGGATGTTATGGATTTAAATATTCATTTGTATAAGTAGTGGATCTCTGTTTATCTTTGTAGTATATAATTATTTTCTTGCAAGTTATTCTTTCAGGAAGTATTTGTGCCAAGGTCCAGATTCAAAAACCAGAAGATGGTGCTGCATTTTTAATTTTTATTATCATATCATCATGTTTTTCCTACATTTTCTGGATTCACTCATTTATCCATTTTATTCCCACAAAACACTCTCATAAGGCGGGTTATCTTTCGTAGTAGAATTTTGTATGTGATATAACCAATATCTATTATTGTTGACTAACCATATTGAATTATCGTGAGTACTGTATCGTTTTGTATTAGTTTTTTTGGTATATCATGTCAGTTTGTATTTGGTATTGAATGTAAATGCTGTATTTTTCTGTCTTTTTTTATTTACATTTTTCATATTGGCCTTTCCATAATAAACATACATGTAACAGAAAAATAATCATAATTGAGTATTTTTTATGACCACTACTAGCACAGTAAATAAAGACTTTATCAGTGTATAGAGTCCTACAGCTCTTGAGATCCACAAAGACCCAGTAAAACATCCACATGTGAAATAATATGCATGAGATATAAGAATATATTTTTAAAATAGCTTTTGTTTTTAACTGCATGACAAATTAGAAAAAAGGTTTTGCAGGTCACACTATTAATATGTCTACAGCTCTAGTACAAATTTGTACGTTAAAGAGTTTATGCTTGATAAACACATACCCAGATGCTACATTTGTATTTTAAATGTGTCAAAGTTAGGCAATTCAAACCTGAAAACTGCTACATGCCCTGCCAAGACGTGATTACACAAACAGACAATCTGAACCTCATGTATTTGATGCACAACCTTGATCTCTGGGATCTTTTCAAGCCCACATGCTCTCTGGCATCCTAATATACATCAGTTTTTGTCCCTGAACTCATGACTGGTCAACCAGTGCTGAATAACCAATATCATGAATAGAAAATCCCACTCTTAATAAATGTTGTGATGAAATCAGCCATTTCCAGTTGGGGTCCACCTGATCCCCTTCTTATGCTCCTTCCACCTACAGAGCAGCAGTGCCTTGAACGTGACCCGGAAGTGCTTGTTACAGAGTGCGTAGCAGAGAGGGTTGACTGTGCTGTTGACGTAGCAGAGCCAGTATCCCAGCTGCCACAGACCCTCAGGAACGCAGTCGTCACAGAAAGTGGACACTAGAACCATGATGTTATAGGGTGTCCATGTTACAATGAAAGCCAGGAGAATGGCACTGAGGGTCCGGGCCGCTTTCTTCTCCCTGATCAGACACGAGGTCCGGGCTTTCCGGCCCTGCTGGCCTGTGGTCAGTGATAGAGCAGAAGGTTGAGCAGCACTTGTGGTTATTGGACTCACAGGCAAATTAAGCGAATTCTGACTGCCTGGCTGACAGCTCCGCATGGATTGATTATTGACTGCAGTTTTATCCATTCGAACAAGTGGAATGTATTTGTTTTCGTCTGTTCTTGGAGAAATGTGGTCAGTGTCCATCTGTGGATGGCTGTATGTAGTATATGAGTTGGACGTCTCGTCCCTCTCCCTTCGTTTCTTCCACCACGCTGCTGTTTGATGGGTGATCGTGGGACAGATGGTCCTTTGTCCCTTCCTGTGCTGCTTCTGGTCTGTTTGTGGACTTACATCCTCAACACTGCGAGAACTGCTGTGACAAGATCTCTGGGAGACATAAATGATGAAAAAAAATGAACATCTTTGCTCTTTCATCTATATAAATGTATTGTATTAGTTCACTTCAAATGGAATGATTTTAACAAAGTTAATATTTTTTACTTTTTGATGAAATACTTAAACTTAAAAAACTTAAACAAAAAATATGTTGCCCTGACAGGTTGAAGTTTACTAAAATTACTCAAACTAAAACTGAAATAAAAATGTAAATAAATTAAAGCTAAATTAAACAAATCTATATATAAAAAAATGAATAAAAATGACAAAAGCGCATAACAAAATTACTAAAACTGAAAATATAAAAATACAAATCATCTCAAATTATTAATAAATACTATAATAGTACATAAATATTTCTAAAATAACACTGGCTCTGACTACCAATACCATGTACCGGTACATCATGATTGGTTGGCTCTTTTCATAATCATTATTTTTCTTGGGATTATTGCTTGAATTGGTCATAAATGTATTGGTTTTCCCATTCTTTTGTACAAGTCTTTTGTATAATCTATATAACTAGCAAAAGCCTGTTCCTTACATCATCCTCCAGGAAGTGATGTCAGTTTAGGTAGAAAAACAATGGCACAAACATTAGTAAGGCTGCATCTGAATCCTCTATAGGCGAAAAACACTGGTAGGTCACAATGACAATGACTCATTAATTTGTTGCTTTAGGTAAATCACGGTCATGTTGTAATAAATCATTCCCTCATTTTAGTTAAATCAAATAGTACACTGTATGGAACAAATTAATAAAATGTGACCACAAATTAATAATTTGTTGTAAAGGGTTTTTTAATTAGTAGCCACGATATCTGTTTTTACTTTCGCATATCATGTGCAGGGCTTCGTACCCTCTAAAATTTTAAATAATGGACAACCCTTTTAATATAAAACTCACCTGAGATGCGTTTCCAGTGCGTCCTCCCTGTGATGCTATCAGTCCAGCTAGCTGCTGAGAGCGTTTCTCTGTCTCACGATACACCCGCCAGTACAATGCAACCATAACACTTACTGGCAGGTAAAATGCAGCGATGGCTGTTCCAAATGTGATCACAGGCTGAGACAGGAACTGGATTGAGCACTGGAATTCTGGAACGGTCCGTTCACCCACTATATACTGCCAGAACAAAATGGCTGGAGCCCAAAGCACAAAGGAGACGGTCCATGCTAGAGTAATCAGCACTGCAGCTCTTCTGGGTGTTCTAGTGGCTCGATAGGTCAGAGGTCGCATGACAGAGAGGTAGCGGTCGACACTAATGGCCAGCAGGTTCATAACAGAGGCATTGCTTGCCACATAATCCACAGCCAACCACACATCACAGGCAAGGTTTCCTAAAGTCCACTGGCCAATCAGGATGTAGGTAGTGTAAAGGTTCATCGAGATGGCGCCCAAAATGAAGTCAGCCACGGCCAAGCTTAAGAGGAAGTAGTTGCTCACTGTCCTCAGGAGTGGGTTGACCCGAAAAGAGATCATGACCAGGACGTTGCCTATGATGGTAATGAGGGAGAGTGGAATGGTTATGAGAGTGATCATTGCTGTCCTCCAGTTGACGGGACCAGAGACCGGTGCGTCTGTCCCATTGAGTAAACTGGAGAGATTCAGAGTGAATGTGGTCACGTTCATCATGAACTGAAGATGGCTGGGAAGATAAGATTATCTTTGTCCTTTAAAAGTCTGATGCATGCTTTGTATTGCATTTTTTGGGGATTCCTGATGTTTGATTACTCTGTGAAGACAAATAGGATAATAAATATTATAATACACGTTTAATTCATACAAACTCTGAATTAACAAATGTGTTGAAAGTGTACATCAAAGAGGAAAATGTCTCAGGTTACATATGTAACCTGGTTCCCTGAGAAGGGAACGAGATGTCGCGTCATGGCATTGACCTTATGGGAACGCTTTCACATGAGACGGTGTCTGAAGCACTTGTCAAAACGAGCCAATTGGCCAAGCTTTATGGATGTCGTGACTTGACACGTGATCAAGTTCATTAATAGACACCTGAATCATCATCATAACTAGGGATGGGTATCTAGAACCGGTTACATTTTAGAAACCAGCTCCAAATTTCCAAGAACTGGTGATTCGATAAGAACTTTTTGGATGTTTGCAGAGCACAGAAAACAAAGCTTGAGTCTTGTGCTTGAATGGTTTAAAATCACATTAAAATGCGCACACAGGAACCGATAAGCGGAATCAAAATGCGCATTTTAATGTGATTTTAAACCATTTAAGCGCAAAGATGACTCATGCGCTGTTTTCTGTGCTGCGCACACATCCAAAATGGTCGCACAGAAGTCACCTCTCATACTGAATAGTGTTGCGCGATACTGAACTGAGTTCTCTTCTGCATCTTTTTGCACTTGAATGAACAAATACACACAAAAATATGTCAACATATTCTCGTAAATACAGTCGGTTATGTCTTAAGTGAACGTAAACAGTTGACAAAGAAAACGCATGTGTAACAGTATATCTGGTCCGTGCAGCTCTTAAAGTTACAGCATAGCGTAACTCCGCCCCACCTCGTGGGTATATAAGGAAGAACGCTGGCAGAATGCTCAGACATGTTTCTGCTTCGGAGCCAAGAGATCCTCTTCACTCCTGCAAGCCTGATTTCTCTGACTGTCATCGAGTGTCTTCGAGACGAGCAGCTCTCCAGTCTGTGTTGGTCTAAAGGCGATTTTCCAGCGAGATTCACATTCCTGCCTACTGATCTGTGCAGTGGTCTGCATCCAGCGTGTGTGTTTCTCCCTGGCCGCTTCAGTGCAGGCTAATGAGCGCCCTCTCACAAAAGATCTTGCACGGGCACGTCTTGCTTCTGGTTGCGGTCGTGCCATTTCTCCCTCTGATGGGCATAATCGCTGTCTTGCGTGTTTGGGCTTAGAACACGCTAAGGCAGCTTTCATGGATGAATCATGTTCTCACTGTGGGAACATGACCATCGCTGTGCTGAGATCAAGGCTCCATGACTTTACTAAAGGTAGAGTCCCCTCTGCCACACCCCAATCTACCCCCTCCTCGAGAGCTGGTACTTCGGGTTCCTTGGGTGCAGCTGCGGGACCGTCTTCGGATGTGCCTCGCGTCTCATTCGGGGCTCCAGAGGAGGATATGATGTCGATCGCCGCATCGCAAGGCGAGCTGGAATCTTCTGGGGATGAAGATTCAGCCGCCCTCCGGGGTCCCAGCATTGTCCGAGTCCGACCCAGAACTGACAGCTATGCTCTCCCGGGCCGCCGCGAGCATCGGGTTAGCGTGGAACCCTCCACCCTGCCCTGAGCGCTCGCGGTTGGATGATTGGTTCTTGGGGGCTGCACGCGCTGACTCTCGTCAGCGCACCCCCCCCAGTTCCATTCTTCCCAGAGGTGCATGAGGAGGTCACGAGATCCTGGAAGGCCCCGTTGTCTTCCCGCGATCGTTCGGCGGCCTCCTCCGCCTTCTCTTCCCGTGATGAGGCCACGGTGAATGGGTACACTGGGGTTCCCCATTTTAAGCGCTCTGTAGCGATGCAGTTGTGTCCGCAGAGCGCTTCGAAATGGCGTGGTGACCCAAAGCACCCCTCCAAAGCCTGTAGGTTCTCGTCTACCTTGGTGGCGAAATCCTACAGAGCTGCGGGGAACGCCGCCGCCTCGCTGCATGCCATGGCCATCCTCCAGGTCTACCAGGCCAGGATGCTCAAGGACATGCACGAGGGTAGAGCTGACCAAGGGCTCTTTGATGAGCTGCGTGCCGCCACCGACCTCGCTCTCCGAGCGATGAAGGTGACCGCACACTCCCTTGGTCAGGTGATGTCCACAGCTGTGGTCCAGGAGCGACATCTGTGGCATAACCTGGCCGATATGCGAGATGCTGAGTGGACTCGTCTGCTCAACGCTCCCATATCCCAGGCAGGCCTATTCGGCGGCGCAGTCGAGGACTTCGCCCAAAAGTTCTCGGCTGCCCAGAAACAGACTGAGGCGATCAATCATATACTGCCCCGGCGGCCAGCTGCTGCCTACACCCAGCCGCCGGCTCAGTCCACTCAGTCTGTTCGCCACCGAGGACGCCCTCCTGCCACTCCCGCCCCTCCCGCTCGGCCCCAGCAGCAGCCTTCACCCGGGCCACGCCGTGGAGGTGGTCGCAGGAAGGCGTCCCAGTCCGTTCAAGCCCCGCCGCCCGCTAAACGCCAGGCCAAACGACGCTCCTGATGCGGACAGCTCAGAGATGGGCTACAGTTTTGTCGAGGAGGTGGTAGCAGGGCCACTCCTTCCCTCGGTGGAGGGCCGGGGGAGAATCTTTTGCCTGCCTGGCAGCGGCACCCCAATGTGGTTAATGACAGAACTGACTCACTCATCTCTGTGCCCCCAGAGTGTGCGGACGACAGTGTGCGCCGCTTACGAGCCTCGCCACCCGCGTCCCCCTCTATCGCCAGACCCCTGTCAGACGAGACCCCAGTGGAACGCACGCCCTTCCCTGGTCTCCTCTGTTAGGACGCGGTCTATGACTGTGCTCCCACACGGGGACACTATACCTCCCCAGTCTGAGCCAGTCATTCAGCCAAGCTGTCTCACCGAGAGTACGTCTGTGGTCCCCATGACCCCGCTGGTACAGTTCCTGGGAACCTGGCTTCAGCTTCCCAACCTGTCCCGCTGGGTCGCCAGGACCATTAGGCTCGGCTATGCGATTCAGTCCGCTTCCGGGGAGTCCGCTACACTATGGTCGGTGGCAATGCCCCTGTCATGCATGCGGAAGTCGCAACCTTGTTGGCGAAAGGTGCGGTCGAGATTGTCCCTCCAGCCAAAATGAAGTCCGGGTTTTACAGCCCCTACTTCATTGTACCGAAGAAATCCGGTGGGTTACGGCCAATCCTGGACCTGCGCGTTTTAAACCGATCCCTTCAAAGGCTTCCATTAAAAATGCACACGGCCAAACACATTTTCGAATGTGTTCAGCCACACGATTGGTTTACAGCGATCGACCTGAAGGACGCCTACTATCATGTCTCCATTCTTCCTCGACACAGACCGTTTCTTCGGTTTACTTTTGAGGGGAAGGCATATCAGTACGCGGTTCTCCCCTTCGGGCTAGCCCTGTCTCCTCGCGTCTTTACGAAGGTCGTCGAGGCAGCCCTTGATGACTGGCTAATCCTAGCTCACTCTTGAGACCAGGTTTGCCAACACAGGGACCTAGTGCTCCGGCACATAGCTCGTCTGGGGCTTCGGGTCAACTGGGAGAAGAGCAAACTTTGACCCGTGCAGAGGATCTCTTTTCTCGGTATGGAAATCGACTCGGTCGCCATGTCCGTGCAGCTTACGAGCGAGCGCGCGCAGTCACTGCTGACTTGCCTGCGTCAAATCCAGAGCAAGAGTGCGGTTCCACTGAAACTATTTCAGAGGCTCCTGGGGCATATGGCATCTGCATCTGCAGCCACACCACTCGGGTCGCTTCATATGAGACCGCTTCTGCACTGGCTTCGCGATCGAGTTCCGAGGTGGGCATGGCAACAAGGCATGCTCCGAGTACCAGTTACTCCGACCTGCCGTCGAACCTTCACCCCGTGGTCGAACCTCAGCTTCCTATGGGTCGGTGTGCCCCTAGATCGAGTTTCCAGGCATGTTGTTGTGTCAACAGATGCCTCCACCACGGGTTGGGATGCCATGTGCAATGGACATGCTGCCGCATTCTCCTGGACAGGACCCCAGCGCCTTCTGCATGTCAATTGCCTCGAGTTGCTGGCAGTACGATTGGCTCTGCACCGCTTCCATGCGTTGCTCAAAGACCAGCACGTACTAGTCCGTTCAGACAATACCGCGACAGTAGCGTACATCAACCGTCAGGGTGGTCTATGCTCCCGCCGTATGTCGCAACTTGCTCGCCACCTCCTCTTATGGAGTCAGGAGCATCTGAGGTCGCTTAGTGCTATTTAGATTCCAGGAGACCTGAACTGTGCAGCCGACGAGCTCTCACGGATTCAGCCTCTCTCCGGTTCAGCTGATTTGGGAACAGTTCGGGGATGCTCAGGTAGATCTGTTTGCCTTCCATGACTCTTCCCATTGCAGCCTGTTTTATTCCCTGACCGAGGGCACGCTTGGCACGGATGCACTGGCGCACAGCTGGCCGCAGGGCCTCCGCAAGTATGCGTTTCCCCCAGTGAGCCTTCTCGCACAGACCCTGTGCAAGATCAGGGAGGACGAGGAGCAGGTCATTTTGGTTGCGCCCCACTGGCCCACCCGGACTTGGTTCTCCGAACTTGTACTCCTCGCGACAGCACCTCCCTGGCCAATTCCTCTATGGAAGGACCTCCTTTCTCAGGGACAGGGCACCCTATGGCACCCTTGTACCGATCTTTGGAACCTCCACGTGTGGCTCCTGGATGGGATGAGGTAGGTTTGAGTACCCTACCACCAGCGGTGGTGGCTACCATCACTTCCGCTAGAGCATCGTCCACGAGACATGGCTATGCGTTGAAGTGGAACCTCTTCGTCAACTGGTGCTCTTCTCACCAAGAAGACCCCACGATATGCCCGATCGGTGTCGTGCTTTCTTTCCTGCAAGAAGGGTTGGAGTGAAGGCTGTCTCCCTCCACCCTGAAAGTTTATGTTTGCCGCTATCGCCGCACATCATGTTGCAGTTGAGGGTAAGTCCATTGGAAAGCACGACCTGGTCATCAGGTTTCTGAGAGGAGCGAGGAGACTGAATCCTCCTCGTCCTCCTCTCGTACCCTCATGGGACCTC